GGGGTGCTTAACTTTTTTCCAGGTGTATATTTGTTGTTGTTTGGTATATTATAGTTTCATGTCGACATTATATACATCGCCCCCCCCCCAACTAGCACAGCAGTATGTCTGCGGACTTACAACGCTAGAAACGTGGTGGGCAGAGCACAGATAGCCCATTGTGTAGCTTTGTGCATTAATTCAAACAAACAATTATATACATGAATGATTTAATTGTACAATGTCGAATAAGCTGGTTTGAATTTCACACTTTTTATAGAAATGACAGCTGTCAAAAAACGCTCACTTTAGTAGCAGCCTTTTCTTGCACTCAGTAAAATGACAACGAATAGGAAGGGGAGTTGTTGTGGCTACTTAGCGAAGCTGAGCACTATTGGGCTGGATGCACCCATTACATTGAAACCTAAACAATTTCGCCAACAGTGCACTGGAGTAAGTTTCCTTTGCTTAAAAACAAACTCAATGAAATGTTCCTTATTGAAAGACATGGTACTGACAAAATATGGTTTTAAATGGCCCATTAGACAATCATTGCATATATGCTAGGGCCCTAGGCACTTGGATTGGCTGCACATTAGTTATCATTATTTTTATGAAATTTACAATTAAACTGTTTCAATAGGCACTTACAAGATCAGAAGTAGGTTGATCAAGCAAATTAAATGTGCTTAAAAATCATAGCCACTGGAAACAGTTGGTACCTTGTATTCTCTCATTTTTAATAACCAATTAATTGTGATTTAACTTTGAAAAAAGCAATGAATAATTCAGTTGGCTCATCTACAATTTTTTTTTCATCAACAGTGAAAACCATGTGTCCATTATGTTTTTCATTTCGTGTGGCGTAGGTGATCTTAGATAGGATTGAATTGAAGCTTCAAGGTGCAAAGCAACTGGACTATTTATGCCAAACATTTGGTTTCAATTGTTGTCAAATAATAAAAAAACGAATAGAAAAATGTAACGGGCGTGTTGGCAGCCCGTGGGCTTAATCGTTGGGTTTGTCTTTACACTCATTACAAAGGAATTTAATTGGATTTCAGGTTGTGCATTCGTGAGCGAAGTAAACAAGCCACCAACTTGTGTGGAATAAAGAACTCGCACAGAGACAACTGAATAAAAATCAAATACTCATATTTTTACACTGTTGAGCATTTAAACTATATCTAAATTCTCAAGGTTATTTTGAAACAACACTAACTCTAAATCATTGAAGTTTTCATTTTGAAGATCTAGATATTTATTAATAAGGCCTTCTATTATGTTCTATAACATAGACAGAACATTATTTATCAACTAAATTAACACGAGAAACCCTCTCAGTCATAATTTCTATAACTGGATTAACAATTCTTCTACAATATTTTAAAGTAATTCAAATTTCAGTATTTTTAAATCTACTATTTCTTTAGTACCATTAGTATTCTTCACTTTTCTCTCTTTTATATATTCTTGAACCTTAAGTGAAACACTGTTAGATTAGATCAGAAATAGCATACTTACAA